AACAAAGCTCGGACAGACCACGACTATGAACCCGCACTTAACGAACACGCATCTCAGCGCTTTCACGATCACTTCGTGATCGTAAAAACACTCAGGGCTACTGTTGGGGTTATGATCCCTGGGCATCTCAAGGCAACGATTAGTTAGCAGGTCGAGTGGCCCATGACACATCAGCCGGCAAGGGCCTGAACGACCGAGGCCCATCTGATCTAAGAAAACCAGGCCAAGCGCTAAGGCCAAAGTCGGCCATGACCCCTTCAACAGACTTAGCCGCACGATGCACAAGAAACTCACGACCTCTCCACCGTCCCGACCCTAGGGAGGAACGAGGAGAGGTCGGACCCGGCCAAGCGTGCCCACTCTCACAGGAGTGAGCACGCCGCACTGACCCCGCAAGGGTCGAGGGGACAGCGGTTACCTCAGTCCGGTTAGGTCAGACGCCATCCTTGCGCCACGTAGCACAGAAAAGACAACATCGCACGGCGGGACTGCCAAGTATGATGACTCACCATCTAGATATGGACCAACAAGATGCATGTACGATCCTATCCACCGCGGGATGGGATCCACAACGGAGGCCTTGACTTGGAGGCCATCCAAACCGACGGGAGCCACGACCCCAGAGCCCAGGATCGTGGCCACCAACTCCATAAGCAAACCCGGCGATCGACAATCTAGGGACGGCTACCAACTCCTTATGACACCCCCAGAAGACCAGGAGGCGATGACGAAGGCCACGGTGGAAACGACGTCTCGCAGGACGACTGGTGAACCAACACCTTGCCTACAGTGCCACCACGCCCAGCACAGTTGCACTACACCACACCTTACCACGACGTGAGCATAGGACCATGACGACAACCATGCCTAGACGTGCACCACAAGACGGCGTAGCTTACAAGCCAACTTAGCTAGGCCCCTCCCTCAGGCTCACGACCCCTCAGTCAGGAGAACCTTCTTCTTTATGTCTGCCCTGGCCCCGAACTCTATATAAGGGCAGCTAGGGCAGCATCTCCAGAGATCTATTCATTCTCTCATTCTTCACACCACCGGACTCCTAAAGCTTCCCTTTAGGCAATTCATCTCTTAGCTCTAGCTCTCCTACCTCTTCCACCATCTTGCACCCCCAATGTAAGAACTTCAGAGTATTCAAGTGAGGAACACGCACTCGATCATCTCTGAGACTGGACGTAGCGCTCCGGCCTAAACCAGTATAAATCCTCGTGTCTTTTGGATGCTACCATAGTCTTCCTAGAGCAGTGCGGCAATCGTATAAATTTACTAGTCCGGTTTACAAAACACCAACACATTCAATCCACCAAAACCCACTTAGGGTCTAGATGCACATACGGCCCTAGCTCATAGGGTCAAAATGACCCTTTTCTTCTTTTTAGGCTTTTGCAAGCGCCATGGCTCAACCCTTGCTAAGTGGTACAGTGGTTTAGGAAAGGTGAATATTGCAGTTTTTCATCATATTTTTTTATGTTTTACATGAGGCTCCTCTACCTCCCTTGAACTCTCACACTCTTCTTCCATGCACCCCCAACAGTCCCACCTTTGCCCCCTCTTACTACTCTACCTTGATAGTGCAAGGTTCACCTCAAATGGACCATGGACTAAAATATTTAATACAAGATTCCTAAAGGTTATTATAAAAAGAATAGCGTCATGTTCGAAGTCACAAGTGTGTGTGTGTAGTGTATGGTTATAGAGTCGAAACCCTAAAGGCAAATGCCATAAGACGCCCACATTAGTTAATCAATCTATAAAGATAGCCCAATCCATTGCCTTTGCAAATGGCCCATTAACAAAAAATCATTTGATAGCCCGCCTCTATTAATAATATCCATCTCTGAAAATACTTAGTGCACATAAAAAATGAGTTAAATGCACTAGCCGGCCCTCACCCTCCTAAACTTTTCTAGGACCCTAAACTTATTAAGTAGTGCACCGCATGTCCATATGGGCTACATGGGTATTTCTTGATGACGTGGCATGCCAATATGATATGTTTTTTTTATATTTAACCCTTCTCCTACCCTATCCTCACACGAATAGATCCTTGTTTCCCTTTTCTCTCATGCTGACCCCACCTCGTCCAATGTCACAGCTGTCCACAGACTACAGTCACCATAAGAGAAGAGGGAAGCTAGGAGAACAAAGGATCTGTTTGTGAGAGAAGAGGAAAGAGAACTTAAATGTAGAAAATTATGACACGCTGGTGTGCCACATCAGCAAGAAACGTCCACGTGGCTGGTATATGGACCTATGGTGCACCGCTTAACAAAGTTAAGGACCTAGAAATACATTTTTAAAATTTATGGACCTAAGTGACACGCCCTTATACAACTCTAAAAAAAAGCTAATTTGGATGCTATTTGCATGGCTAAGTTAACTACTAGTTTAAGGATTTAGGCGTGGATGAGCCCTTTTGTGATGAATGTGCTATGCATATGCATGTCTACCTTGGGGCACCAAGTGAAATTTTTGTATTTTGGTCCCTTTTAAAAACATTTTTTACAAATAGCTTCCTGTCGAAACGTTTTCTGACAATAGACCATTTTTCGGCGTATTAGGACACGACGCCAAGGTATGAGGCTCGGCGCTGTGTCAGACAACGCCGAACTTTTACTGCGTCGGTAGCGGACTGCGAGTCGCATGATTTGCCACGAAGGCGTTGGGCCCAGCGTGCCTCGGCTGCGTTACTTCCTGCTGAGCCGCGAGACCTCAGCGATAGCCTTTGCTTTCGGCGTCGGAGAATGCAGGTATCGTTTTGCGTCCTGCTTGGCTGCTCTGACGCGCGAATCCTCCTTGGCTGCAGCGTTGGCATCGATGGATATCCCATATGCATGCATGCGCCATTGCACCGTCGAATCGGCCCATACGTGCATGCATGAACCATCGCATCGACTCCATCCATCTCACCTTCTTTACCAGTATCTGTCGTCCGTCCGTCCGTCCGTCGAGTGTGCGTGCGGCGAGCACCGAGCATGCCTGCATGAGCCGACGGCCCCGTGCGTGTTGTCACCTCGTGAGTGATGGTGAGGCGAGCCTATAGTATACTAGGCCTATGTATGCCGTGTTTAGTTCAAAAAACTTCCTAAAAAGTGCTCACGGTATCCATCACGCCGAATCTTGCGATCGTGCATAGGCGTTAAATGTGAGCGAAAAAAACTAATTGCACAGTTTGGTGTGAAATCGCGAGACGAACGTTTTGTGCCTAATTAGTCCATGATTGAACACTAATTACCAAATAAAAACGAAAGTACTACAGTAGCCAAATTCCAACTTTTCCCAAACTAAACGCGCTATATTCCAATAGCAAAGGTGCGCTTGCGTGCGAAAAAACTTGGTAAAGGAACCATCGGTTGTGCGGACTGTGCAACTAGTTGGTGGACTACTGTACTATTTTTAAGCATACGGATAGTAAATCAGATACTTAGATTTACGTCAGCCACACATCCTCACCGTGTTTCCGTGAGAGATGGTCCGCTCTGACTGATTTTTCCCTTGCGTACTCGTAGCTGCATGCATGCATGTGTAGGACGATCTAAAGGAGCACGGCAACACGGTCTGTCTCTCTGCGTCGAGCTCTCAGATCATGCATTATATACTTCGATATATCTGGGTGGAAGTGGAATGCACACTAGTATGAGGCAGTCTTTACTTCGATTGGGAACCCCTCTAGTCCCGGTTCCCCATCCGGGAGCAACATCCGGGACTAAAGGGTGTCCTTTAGTCGGGTAAAAATGCCAGGACTAAAGGGGACCTTTAGTCACGGTGGAAAAGACGCACCTGCTGGGACTGAAAAGGTGCCTCTGACATGCCACGAGTTGGCACCCTTTAGTCCCGGTTAGATATCTGATAAACCGGGACTAAAGGTTATTTTTTTTTTTCTTTTCATTTTAATTTTTTAAAATAGGTTTTGAAGTTGTATTTATGCTCGCTGCTAATAATACATTTATCTGCAGCGTATAGTATGTTTCGGTTTAAGCACAATGAGCGCATTAAATAACACAATTCAAGCAAGAAAAAAATAACCTTTAGTCGGTACATAGGCCTACCCGAACTAAAGGCTGCGGCCTCACGTGGCATGTCAGGACGCACCGGGCCTGGTCGGCCTGTGCTAATGTCCCCTTCGGTGTCAGTTCGCCAAGACGCACAATTCGGACGGGATAGACGGATGCAGGTGTGCAGGTGATGAGAGATGGATGGAGTCGACGCGATGGTTCATGCATGCACGTTCGGGCCGATTCGACGGGCAGAATGGCGCATGCATGCATATGGGATATCCATTGATGCCACGCGGCAGCCAAGGAGGATTTCGCGCCGCAATGCCAACAGGACGCAAAACGATACCCAGACTTCCTGCCGGCGAAAGGCGCACGTCGAGGTCTCGGCGGTTCGGCGTGAAGTAACGCAACCGAGGTACAGCGGGCCCAACGCTGCGCGGCAATAATCGCTACCGACGTGGCAAAAGTTCGGCGTTGTCTGACACAGTGCCGAGCCTCATACCTTGGCGTCGTGTCCTAGTACGCCGAAAAATGGTCTATTGTCAGAAAACGTTTCGACAGGAAGCTATTTGTAAAAAAAAATTTAAAATGGACCGAAATGCAAAAATCACGCGGGCACCAACGTAACATACCAAGAATGGCTGAAGCACAGTAGGTGGGCCCACCCACATTCAATGGACATTTATCACCCATGCATGTACGTGCTCCCAGGCCAGCCGTCTTTGCTTGCTTCCGGCCCCTATTTATATTTATGATCCGTCGACACTTCTCATGAGCAACCACGAATGAGGAGGCAGCAAAGATCGACCTCACCATATGTACGCTTTAAGAAGAGTAGACAGATAGCTGGCCAAGATTCCTCCGATCACGCACACATTCTCTCCAACCGTACCGTTGGTTCCTTCACCAAGGCAGAGACAAATATTCTGTGTGTACTAGCTTGCTCTTGTAGTACTCACTCTACGTGCTAGCTAGAGCAATCATCATATGGCGGAGGCACTGTGCGATCAGCTCTTCTCCGACGTCGACGGCGACCTGATGCGGCAGCACACTTCCGACACCGACGACCTCTTGGGCATCCTCGAGGCGTGGGAGGACTGCGTCACTGGCGATGGTGCAACTACTCCCCGCGGCGCTGAGATCCTGCGTCAGACTGCAGCTGACGCCGCCGCAACGCCCAAGCCCGCGGCCGCAAAACGTCGGCGGCAAGGGTACCGGGAAGAGGATGGCACGGCGGTGCCGGCGCCAAAGAGGCAAAGGTGCTCTTCGGTGTCCTCGGATGCAGCGGCCGCGAGTGAAGATGGTGCGGCAAATAAGACCTCGCACATCACAGTGGAGCGCAACCGGAGGAAACAAATGAACGAGCACCTCGCCGTGCTTCGCTCGCTCATGCCCTGCTTCTACGTTAAGCGAGTAACTACTCTTACAACTTGTATTGCTGTATAATAAATCCGAGAGATCGATTCATCATCTGTTCCATGATTGTTATGACTGGAAATTTACCGGTTGTGTTTTGCACGTTATGATTGCGTAGGGAGACCAGGCATCCATCATTGGAGGGGTGGTGGACTACATCAAGGAGCTGCAGCAAGTGCTGCAGTCGCTGGAGGCCAAGAAGCAGCGCAAGGCCTACACCGAGCAGGTGCTCAGCCCACGGGCACCGGCGTGCTGCAGCCCCCGCCCTCCGCTCAGCCCACGGCCGCCCCTGCCGCCACTCAAGTCCACGCCGCCTATAAGCCCGCGGCCCGCCGTCCCCATCAGCCCCAGGACACCGCCGGCTCCCAGCAGCCCGTACAAACCATGCAAGCAGCCGATATCGGTAGTGCCCCTACCGCCACCGGGCTCGTCGGCCTACGTGTCCCCGGCGATGACGCCAACACGCGAGCCAGCGGCAGCCTCCTACCTGCCGTCGCTGGACACCATCGCTGCCGACCTCTGCGCCTACGCCGCCACCAACAAGCAGCTGCAGGCGGCGCTGCCAGCAGCGGCCGGTGGTGGGATCGTCCTCCCGGACGTCAAGGTGGAGTTCTCCGGCGCCAACCTGGTGGTGAAGACAGTGTCGCACCGTGCGCCGGGGCAGACCGTAAAGGTCATCGCCGCGCTGGAGGGGCGGTCACTGGAGATCCTCGACGCCAAGATCAACACAGTCAACGACACTGCGGTGAACTCCTACACCATCAAGGTGCTCTCTTCTTTCCTTTTCATAAATAAATCGTAATTGGTTCAACTCAAATAGAGTATTCCAACGATTTGTAGTTGTAGTACAGTACACCTTTTCAAAACAAAAAAAAAATCTTGTAGCACACATTTACCAGTTTGGTTGGTGACCAAAACTTGCCACGCCTAACCTTCGGTAAACTGTGGCTGTCACAGAAAATGTGGCGAGCAAAATCGAAGCCAAACTTGTGGCAAGTTTTGGCACAAAAATAAGTCTATGACATGTTGGGTAGGGTGATAAGAAAATTTGAAGTGCTATAGCTGTGACAGTGAACCAAACAGCTGCCGAAGAAACTGTGACATGACCACTTTTAGCATGACGAGCTTTGGTGTCCAACCAAACACGCAAACATATAGTTAATTAAATGCATTTGTTTCATGTGAGCTTCCCATAAACTGCATGTTGAAGTTGCATTGGTCGTAATTGTGGTACGTAGGGTAGCTAGCTATGTACTCTAGCTAGCATATATATAGGCTGTGTGCCCGGAGATTGGCATCCTGGCACACAGTAGATCACATGCATTTGTTCTTGAAGTGACACTATGCTCGCGTAGTGTACGGGTGCAGGGTTCCTATTGTGCACTGTACGTTAACTCTTGTATGTTGTGTGGCCTATATGACATCTCTTTAAGTAGATCTAGTTTTCTGCTTTATTTTGTTGTTTTCTTTTTTTATTTTTAGCTGAAAAGTTTTCTTTTCTATGCTACACTATATCCCAAACTATCAATAATTTCTGTTTTATTTTTGCTGTTTTCTTCTTCTTTTTTCTATTTTTACTGAAAAAGATTTATTTTTCCATGCTACTATATTTCAAACTATCAATAAATTATGGGCGTGTTTGGTTGGTTATCACAGTTTACCACACAACGCCACACTTCCTACGCCTGACTTGAGCTGGCAGTTTGGTTCGTTGCCACGTTTGTGGCACGCCGCAGCGAAAGCATAGCATAGTAGTTCACTTTTTATGCCACACTCTGCCAAAAGTTTGACACTGGAATCCTGCGCCAGACATTAGGCGAACCCGCAACTGCGTTATGGCGTAGTGAGGCAACGAGCCAAACTGGCCCTATGTCTTGTACTCTTGCCACATCTTGAATAACCAAATCAGTTTTCTCACTACTTATTTTTTCTTACTTTGTTCCTCGTTGTCGGACCTTTGCATATTTCCTGATAATAACATAAAAGAATATCTAATACATACCTGTCCACATCCCACATATCATGTCATCATATGAACTAAGTCTATTTTACATGCTACTGCCGTCACTTTTCTTTTTACTCTTCACTTATGGGTCTATCCATCCAACAGATTGGAATAGAGTGCGAGCTCAGCGCTGAAGAGCTGGTGCAAGAGATTCAGCGAGCGTTCTCGTCGTAATGCATGTATCACTGTATCAGTATTCAGTAATCCCAATTCGTCGAATTCACGTCGCTCACTTGGAAGCTGCAGTTAATCAGGTATTCAGGTGTAGACGTGTAGTAGCATAAGAGGTCTGTGAATAGCCAACCGGGGTCACGTCAAAGACATTTACTGACATAGTTAGCAAGCAAATAAAGTAGCTTGCCAGACCAGCAGACCGATGATCATGTTACTGCATGCCAAATTAGTTACTATCTACTAGTCACAGCCGACGATGCTATGTATGCGCATCTCATGAATTATCTCAAGATGCAGAGGTCGCAAGTTTGTATCTTTTTTTTTTTTTGGAGGCATCCATTGACGCGTCTTTCATTAAGGGGAGTGCAAGTTTCTATCTTAAAAATGTGATTTCAGTCTGTCCCTGTACGTTCGATTCACCACTTACGCCAACGTCATAAGCAAGTTCATGAACATTTTTTTTTCCTTCAAGGGCACGTGCTCTCTTGCTATGCCTCGTTAGATATACACAAATATGTACAGCAGGAGAGAGACAATGTCTTGCTATACTATACACACATCTTCATGCACATCCTATAGTGCATAGCAGGAGAGCACATGCATGCCATTAGAGGCAGATTTATACTTTCGAGCAAGTTCGTCACAACTACTTCGACTACTCCAGAGTTCACAGTCGATGATACTGGCAGGATGCTAGATCAGTATATCTACTATGCATGTAATTGAAGTTGGCATTTGCAACACATAGCCAATGCAAGCCTCTTGTGCACAGAATAATGGACTTTGTGGACCATGCTGTGGGTTTAATTATTACTGAAGAGACTATCTATTGAGTCATTTCGGATGGGCCTGGAGTGGGCCAGATTAAACCAAACCCACCCATGTATTGAAAAGGTTCCACAATAAATACTTGTCTGTTGAGGATATCAGGCATAAGTATTTCCACTTTCTAGCCCTAATTAATGCTTTGAAACAAGACAAATTATTACATTTAACAGGTAGTGCAGGAGCTTGAACAAGATAGAGGGCAGGCTAAGAGATAAACAAAAATATAGATTAGATTTGATTTTATGCTTAGCATGTAAGTATAAATTAGTGTTTTCTGAAGCAAATTCAAAATAAAAAAGAAAAAATACTAGAATTCTAGATTTTTCAAATTTCTCTCATTAAAATATTCCAAAATTAAGAATGGGTTTAGTTACTTAAATTCAAAAAGTGAATCAAAGAATTTCGGTATCTAGTTATTAGTTAAAAAATATTTATTAAAATACAAAAAAGATTGAATAATTTTACTTTCTAATCATTTTTGTATTTATTTTTGTTAAAATAAAAGATAGGGGGCTAATTTGTAACCTTTGACCTTAGTAAGGTCTGTCGCTACCGCAATAACGTGGGGTTTGTATGGTCATTTCACATTGACTTTTTCTAAAAACTAGTACTCAGTGGGATGCACCGTGTGCTATGCACAAGTATTAAGAAACTATGATGACCTAGCTTGCATTATTGATTTGTGCATAATTATCATGACCCATTAGCATATATGTTAAAATTCTTATTCGCAAAATATGTTTTAGGTTTTTATGCAAGGAGCAAAATATATGTTTTAGGTATAGTTGAACCTAACACTTCTATGGAATGTCGGACAGTCCGACTATAGTATGTCACAATCCATCACAACTTCTATTCATATGACACTACACAACAATATAATAGTTTTATACAAACCCCAATGTGTGGGTACTCAAATGAATTACAACTCTACAACCGCTATGCATCAAGATGATCCAACAACAGGTGCCACACATCACCCGGTCCAAGAGAGTCGATCAATTGACTAGTCAAAGTCATGGTTGATGCACAGTCTAGCCTGGGATACCAGACAGATCCGCTAGAACACAATGACACCTAGTACACGCACCGTGGTAGCATCATCACAACACACCTCCTCACATCTCTCTAGATCATTCTCCATGCACCCATTCTCTTTCTAAGCAAGAAAAGAGGAGCAAAGGAGGAAGGAGTAGGAACAAAATAGGAACAGGAGGTCAAGATCGAAGTACCAGGAGATGCTCCTAGGAGGTCCCCAAGACCCTCACCATTTCTAGGGTGGAGCAAGGAGAGAGCTCCCACCATCTAGCTTGGTAAGGAGGAAGACGAGCAAGAAGGGGTAGAAGGAGAAGCTACATCCAAGCCCTCTAATCCAACCTAGGGCCCCCTTCGCAGGATATTTAACCATTTGGTAAGTTGTAGACCGATTTCTAGTGAAGGTAATCCTAGGTTTGCCGTCCTGAAAGGACCTTGATGTCGTCTAAAGGGGGGTGAATAGGCATGTCAGAGGTTTTTGGCTCAGACAATGGAGATCAATGTATCACGCACAGGGAATCATAAGGGTAGCACATGGGACACAGATTTATACTGGTTCAGGTACGGGGTACCCTATGTCTAATGGAGAATAAATCTGTTATATCGTATGCTCGAGTTTATAGGGGAGCTAATGGCTAGTTGCCTAGGGTTGCTATGAGCGAATATCAAATAACGATCAGGGGCTCCCCCCCCCCCACCCCCACCCTCATTATATAGTCCAGGGGTGGGGTTATAGATGGAGTCCAGATCAGTTAACATTTGTGTTTCCAAGTTCGCTACAAGGAAATCTACCATATAGAGTTGGTTTCTAAGTACATGTTGTTATGTCTTGTCCACCAAGTAGATGAGGTCCCCCATCCGGTTTGGGCTTCTCGTGTAGCCTGCTTGGTGTACTGTCCCCTTTGGGTTGTTTTCCATGTGGTGAGGTACCTTGGGTACATATCACCGATAGTAGCCCCCCGAGCCTTCGCGCGATCAGGACAATTAGGCAGAGGATTTTTGTCTTGATTTGTCCAAATGTGAGCACTCTTTGCATTGGAATGCTTTCTTGTTGTCATAGTCGACCGAGGCCACGTAATGGAATGGGCGGGTCTAGCCTCCGAGCCTCCATGCAAATTGGAGAATTAGTCAGAGGGTAAGATTGAAGCTAGTATCCTCTTCTAAGCACAAGTCCTACATACCTAGTGATGATTTAGATGTAGCTTGATGATGCATGTCCGAACAGTCATGGTCCAAGATGTTGCTGATGGCGATGTGATGGACTCGAGGGAGTCCAATGGTAGTGTGCCCGAGTGGTCATTGCCGACGAAATAGTTGGAGATGGTGTGACCATCGAGGGATCCTGGCAGCAGCCTTCTAGAGTGGTCAAAAATCAACGATTCATTTTACGTTGACCATAACATCCATAATATATAAGTTATTGTTGGCGATAATACGACAATGTCCTTTCAGTTTGTATCAAAATGAAATACAACTTTGATAGTTTTTTAACTACTCCTGTGCAAAGCACGGAAATGTTTACTCATAAATATATCATAACTCTAATTTTTATACTATTCATGCATTGCTTACAATTAAATAATGAGTTTCTTGACTTCCTTTGAGGAACCTGTTGATGGTCGTTAACCTCCAAATCTGACCATTTGGTGGTTCCAAGTGTATTACAGGATATGCTTGAAATATACATAAAAAGACACTAAGGGAGCATATGCAAAGATGGGATTGAGATGGAATCCAAATGTGCATCAGTACAAACAATC